AAGAGATATGGAGAGAGTGGACAGCCTTGTCTTGTTCCTGATTTTAGTGGAATCATTTTGAGTTTCTTTCCATTTAATTTGATATTAGCTGTTGGCTTGTTGTATATTGCTTTTATTATATTTAGATATGATCCTTGTATCCCTAATCTCCCCAAGACCTATATCATAAACGGGTGTTGAATTTTGTCAAATGCTTTTTCAGCATCTAATGAAATGATCATATAGTTTTTTGTTGTTGTTTGTTTGTTTGTTTTGTTTTGTTTATAAAAATGTTCTGACTTAAGTCACGGAGTAGCTGATACCTTAACCCAAAATGAGGAAGGAATTTAGCAAACAAAAGTTAAAAAACAAAGAGCAAGTAGCAGATAAATACCGTGATTCAACTTATAGTGCACAGCAGAATCTCCTGGGGAAACTGTCAAAACCATTGTTCTCTAGTTTCCAGTTGAGAGATTTTCAGGCAGGGCAGAGAGCTCCTCCCAGTTCAGAGCTCCCAGCCTCTCAGTCCACCCCAGGCATTTCTATACCTTGGAATAAATAATATCTTTATATTCAACAAGCTTTTTTCTTTTAGGGCCATCAATCAGCTCTTGAATCATGACATGGAGACTTCTTATTAGTTATGAATGCTTGACCTTGCTTAGGCTCATATCTGGCTGGCTCTTTTAACTTAAATTAACCTGTTTTTCTTTATCTTCCTTTTGTCTCCGGCCTTTTTATCTTTCTTTTTTAATTTATTTATTATTTAGTTTTTTGGATCATATGGTTTTCTTCTTTCAATTTATTTATATGATGGATTACATTGATAGATTTTTGTATGTTGAACCAGCCCTGCATCTCTGGGATGGAGCCTACTTGATCATAATGGATGATTTTTTTTATGTGTTCTTAGATTTGGTTTACCAGTATTCTATTGAGAACTTTTACATCGATATTCATGAGTTAGATTGGTTTGTAATTTCCTTTCTTGGTTGAGTCTCTGTGTGGTTTTGGTATCAGGGTAACTGTAGCTTCATAAAAAGAGTTTGGCAATGACTTCTATTTCTATTATGTGAAATACATTAAAAAAGTATAGGTATCAGCTCTTCTTGGAAGTTCTGGTAGAATTCTGCATTAAAACCATCTGGTCCTGGGCCTTTTTCTTGGTTGGGAGGTTTTTGATTAAAGCTTCTATTTCCTTGCGATTTATGGGTCTATTTAAATTGCTCACCTGGTCTTGATTTAATTTTAGTATATGGTATTTATCTTTAAAAAAAAGACCATTTCTTTAATGTTTTCCAATTTTGTGGAGTACAGGTTTTTATAGTAAGACCTAATGATTCTCTGAATTTCCTCAGTGTCTGTTCTTATGTCCACCTTTTCATTTCTGATCTTGTTAATTTGAATGTTCTCTCTCTGTCTTTTATTGGTTTGGATAGGGGTTTGTCAATCTTGTTGATTTTCTCAAAGAACCAGCTCTTTGTTTCATTGATTCTTTGGATTGTTTTCTGTGTTTCTATTTTGTTGATTTCAGCCCTCAGTTTGATTATTTCAAGTCTTCTACTCCTGGATGAGTCTGCTTCTTTATTTTCTAGAGCTTTCAGGTGTGCTATTAAGTCTCTAATGTGAGCTTTCTTCATTTTTTTATGTGGGTACTTAGTGCTATGAACCTTCCTTTTAGCACTGCTTTCATAGTGTCCCATAGGTTTGGGTATGTTGTGTTTTCGTTTTCATTGAATTCAAAGAAGACTTTAATTTCTTCCTTTATTTCTTTCTTAACCCAGGGGTGGTTCAGCAGTTGACTGTTCAGTTTCCATGAGTTTGTAGGCTTTCTGGCGGTGGAGTTGTAAAATTCTAACTTTACTCCTTGGTAAATCCAATAAGACACAGGTGGTTACTCCAATTTTTTTGTATCTGTGGATGTTTGCCTTGTTACCAAGTATGCAATCAATTTTCAAGAAGGTTCCATGAGATGCTGAGAAGAAGGTATATTCTTTCCTGTTTGAGTGGAATCTCAAGTCCATTCATTACCTCTGTTAGTTCTCTTATTTCTCTGTTAAGTTTTTGTCTGGTTGACCTGTCCATTGGTGAGAGAGGAGTGTTGAAATCTTTTACTATTAGTGTGTGGGGTTTGATGTGTGATTTGAGTTCAAGTAATGTTTCTTTTACATATGTGGGTGCTTTTGTATTAGGGGCATAGATATTCAGGATTGAGACTTCATCTTGCTGAATTGTACCTATTATGAGTATAAAGTGTCCTTTTCCATCTCCTCTGATTGATTTTAGTCTGAAATCAATTTTGGTGTATATTAGTATAGCCACACCTACTTGTTTCTTAGGTTCATTTGCTTGGAAAACCTTGTCCCAACCCTTTACTCTGAGGTAGTGTCTGTCCTTAGGTTAAGGTATGTTTCTTGTAAACAGAAGAATGTTGGATCCTGTTTTCATATCCATTCTCTTAAACCTGTGCCTTTTTATAAGTAAATTGAGTCCATTGATATTAATGACAAGTGGTTGTTAACTCTGGTTATTTTTTTGGTGGTAGTGTTTGTGTATTTCCCTTCTTTGACTTGTGTTGGTGAAGGGTTGTCAGATATCTGTGCTATTGTGGGTGTTGTTGGGTTTCTTGGGTTGAGGTTTCCCTTCTAGTACTTTCTGTAAGGCTGGGTTTGTGGCAACGTATTATTTAAATCTGTTTTTGTCATGGAATATCTTGTTTTCTCCATCAATGGTGAGAGAAGATTTGCTGGATATAGTAGTCTGGGCTTGCATCCATGGTCTCTTAGTGTCTGCAGCACATCTATCCAAGACCTTCTGGCTTTCATGGTTTCCATTGAGAAGTCAGGTGTAATTCTGATAGGTTTACCACTATATGTTACTTGACCATTTTCCTTTGTAGCTCTTAATAGTCTTTCTTTATTCTATATGTTTTGTGTTTTGATTATTATATGGCAAGGGGATTTTTTTTATCCAGTCTATTTGATGTTCTGGACACTTCTTGTACCTTCATAGGAATATCCTTCTTTAGGTTGGAAAAGTTTTCTTCTATAATTTTGTTGAATATATTTTCTGTGCCTATGAGCCATAATTCTTCTCCTCCTTCTACCCCTATTATTCTTAGGTTTGGTCTTTTCATGGTGTTCCAGATTTCCTGGATGTTTTGTGTTAAGAATATTTTGGTTTATTGTTTTCTTTGATCAGTGAGTTTATTTTCTCTATTGTATCTTTAGCACCTGAGATTCTTTCTTCTATCTCTTGTTTTCTGTTGGTTATACTTGTCTCTGTAGTTGCTGTTCATTTACCCAGATTTTCCATATCCAGCCATCCCTCAGTCTGTATTTTTTTATTACCTCCATTTCGGTCTTCAGGTCTTAAACTGTTTCATTTACCTGTTTGATTGTTTTTTTCTTGGTTTTCTTGGGTACCTTTGAGGGATTGTATTAATTTCTTCTAACTTTTTGTTTGTCTTCTCTTCCATTTCTTTAAGGGGTTTTTCACTTCCTTGTTAAGGGTCTCCATCATTTTCATAAGGTTATGTTTAAAGTCAAATTCTTCTACTACTTCTGAGTTAGGATGTTCAAGTCTTCCTGTTGCATGTTTGCTGGATTCTGGTGTTATCATATTGCTTTTCAGGATGATGGAAGAATTCTTTCTTCCTTCAAATGAGGTCAGCAAAGTCTTGGCGTCTTGTTCCAATCTTTGCTGTGGCTGACTGTGTACTTGGGAGTTTTTCTTGTTCTTCCCTCTCTTAGGTCTCCACAGCACTGGATCAGGCTCTCAGATCCCCTCCACCCTGAAGCAGGCTGTGCTGTAGGATCCAGGGACCCTGCAGATGAAAGGTGGATCAAGGTGGAATGGGGTAAAGAAGGCCAGCAGCTGGGAACACACCCCCTGGACAGCCAGAAAAGCTTAGGGAATTAGAGGGGGCCTGGACTCAGTTTCCTGGGACCATCAGGCCATGCAGCCACTCACTCACCTCTGTGGATCTGCTCAGCACAGGAGCAATGCCTCTTGCTGGGAAGAGATGAGTTTTTTAAAGAAATCGGTATAACTGATAAATCTACCAAGACTAATACATGTATGAAGAGATGAGTAAAACTTTAAAATGAGGGCAAATTGAGATATCAAGATAAAATAAGGAGTACAGACTTGAAGAAAACAGGACTTCTGTGGTCTGTCCTGTGTTGTTGGGGTTTCTGTCCTGCCCGCTTCCTACAGTTGTTAAGTCCCAAAGAAATCACAAGGAAGTATACATTAGTTATAAACTGATTAGTTCATTACCTCAGGCTTCTTATTAACTCTTATAACTTATATTAGCCCATTATTCTTGGCTATGTTAGCCACGTGGCTCAGAACCTTATTTGGCAAGGCAGTCACATCTTGCTTCTTCTGTGGCTGGGTTATGACTGCAGACTAGGACTTTCTTCTTCCCAGAATTCTTCTGTTCTCATGGACCCGCCTCTATTTCCTGTCTGGTCATTCCGCCTATATTTCCTGCCTGGCTACTGGCCAATCAGTGTTTATTTAAAATATAATCGACAGAATACAGACCATTGTCCTATACCACTACCCTCCCAAAGCTTAGGAGTCATTGTGAAAGAGGGTCAGGCACTGGAAGAGACAGGCAGGGGATGAATAAAAGGAAACAGTGTCCTCCAGCCTAGGTAAGAATAGGACCAATGTCCCTGTGAACTCAAAGTGACTGTGACAGCGCACACAAGCCCAGTGCAAACAGAAGCCAGACCAGATCTCAGCATGGGAAGGGCAGGCAGGCATGGAGTCCTACCCAGAGGTGAGGAGCTGAGCTACTAGGAGAAGAGTCAGTTACCTTTAATAATGTGGCCTCTGGTAAGTCAACCATGCTCCAGTGGAAGGCCACACCTCTAAGAAAATACGGACAGCACAAATTGGGCTTGATAGGTGGAGCATATAATCTGTTTGAGATGTTATGTCATGGTTTCTCCTGTTTAATCTTTGCAAATGATAACAGATCACCAGTATGGCCCTTGGTTTTTTTACAGATCAATAAGCAGAAAGAAGACATGGAATTAAGAAGAAAGTACGCCAGTATAAGCGCCAAGGTTGTATGGACTCCATCACCATCTGTCTATCTCGGCTACCATGCTCTCTCTCTCTACATTCAAGAATCCATGCTCTCCATTGCTTCCTCATGAATGAGGTTTTTTTTTTCAAAGTGCTTGATATCAAGAGTAGACAGTGCTCTTGCAGAAGAGCCTGGTTCCTTAGCATACAACCACCTCAAACTCCAGTTCCAGGGGATCCAGCATATTCTTCTGAGCTCTGAGGACATCAGCATTCATGTGCACATACACACACACACTCACAAGGAATTAAAATAAGTCTTTACAAAAAGACTCATTTGAAAGTGAAACAAGGTGGGCATGTGGAGACAGAAAATGAGGAAAGTAAGGAGAGGAAGAAAAAAGAGAAGCAGCAAGCCATCCCTCAGGGGGGCTGCTGCAAACCCCGGTGCACACATTCCTCCTTCACTCCTTTCTTCCTTTCCCTTTTCCCACCTTGACACAAACCTCAGACTACCACCTCACCAGCTTCATGAGGACTGTATCTTCACAGGTGTTCCTGAGGAACGTCTGTCTGTTTTTATATTTTCTCCTAGAACAATGGGTGAAAGGGACATTCAGTCCCAGCTGCTAATTAAGGCAGGCAAGAATAGGCTGTGAAGCTAGGAATGAAGGCAGATTCACACCCACTGAGAATGAAACTGCCCGCTCTGAGGTTCTTGCTCAGGGAGGACAGATAGAGGGTACAAATCTAAGGGATGAAATAAGAATAATTCTTGCCTCTTTTTGAGCAGAGAACAACCAGAGGAAGAGAATCTGCTTTCTACTCACGGCCTGGGAGTCGTCAAGCCAAGGGCATGACTGAAGGCCAACATTTTATGAGGCCACCTGCTGCTTCCCTCAGTGTATCACCTAAGCTAAAGAAGAAGATGGGAAAGAGATATATTGGTGCCGCTGTTATGCCTTCTCCTGTTCTTGCTGAAGCTCCTGCTCCAGCTCCTGCTCCTGCTCCTGCTGCAGCGTCCACTGCAGCGCCCGCTCCTGGGGTTCCTGTCACAATGGTCGCCACTCCTACAGCCATTACCAATTTCCTCGCAAGGGCCGACAAGCAAAAGCATGTAAGAACCATGTCCATTACCACCATCTGCTCACTTCACGTACTTCATGTGTGCAGGGTTCCTGGCTTGTTAGCCTTTTCCGGCTGCAGCCTCATGCCTCTCACCTCCCACTTCCTGTCTGGCATCATCGGGGCCCACTGTCTAACACACTGGATTCTCACATAGGAGTAAGGGCTCTGGCAGCTCACCAGGGTTAGCTTGATAGGACTTGATAGGCCCCTTAGCTTTCTTAAAATGATTCCTCCATTACCCATAGCTGGCTGCATTGTGTAGGTTAGTTCGTAAGCCTTAGTGGCTCTATTGAATCATTAAAATCTGAGACGCTGCATCTTAAGTGCTTGTGAAGGCACATACCTCTAACTCCTTACTGTGCAGTAGTCTATTAATGATGTCTGCCTGAAGGACATGGAAGGATTTTATCCTTTTGGTCACACGAGAGTCTGCACTGGGCAGCTAGATTAAACAACATAATTAGGAACAGCCACATGTGAGTTGTACGCTGCTGCTCTCTTTAGCCATGTGACAGTCAGTTCTCTGAAGTTCAGAAGACTGTTGGCTTGTGACAGTTATGGCAGCCCTATTCCCTAGGCTTGGGTTCTAGCGCACACAAAGGAGAAAGCTAGCTGAGAACGGGACAACTCTCCCTTTGCCTTGTGACTGTGGGTCCAGCATGACCAGATGATGCCAGCCCTTGCTGCTTTGACTTCTCTGTGCTAGGCCAGATCCTATAACTAAGAGCCAGAGAGAAGCCCTTTCTCCCCTCAGTTTCTTTTATGATGATATTTAACAACAGCAACAAGTAGCAAAGGGGCATGGCTTATTATTGGGTATTCCCAAAGACTGCCCTTTGTGATGATCCTGGGAACCTTTTCTTTGGGCTTAGCTGTGGGGATACAGATGGTTGTTGGTGCACACGATCGGTAAGCACCATGAACTTTGTTACTAGATCAGATTCTTTTCTGGTCTGACATTCACAGAGCTCTTAGATCCAACTGGTGACTCGTTGGACCAATGGATAGGCCTTGACATAGTGTGTCCTCTTGGATGTTTAGATCTTCCGTGTTTCTGAATCTTGTTCTGCCAAGTTCCATGTCCTTCCCCCTCTCCAGGTGACAGAATCTGCTTATCCATAGGACATGGAAGAACAGAGTAGAATTATACAGTTGTGTGTACCTTGCTTCAAAAAGGGAACAGGAAAGGATACAGGCCTCTTAATCCATTTAATCAGAGACGTAGATCACTCCCTTCTCCAGTGACAGAGTGAGAAACGGGGAGACTCAGAGTCGCTCTAGCAGAGAGTCAGTCCACTTGGAAGGAAGCATCGAGAAGTGAGAAAAATCAGCCTCAGATGGTATAGTGGTGTTTGCCTGTGTGATCCCAGCAATCCGGAGGCAGAGGCAGGAGGATCACCATGAAGTTGAGGCCAGCCTGGGCTACAGTAATGAGTCTAAGGCCAGCAAGGGCAACCCTGCCAGCCCAAAAAGAAAACCAAGAGAAAAAAAGGAGGAGAAAAAGGAAGGAAGAAAAAGTATGGAAGGATAGATAAATGTTTCTGCTGTAAAAATTAGGAAGTAGAGTCAGGTGGAGGGCTATATGAATCTCTCAGGAGAGACTTTGCACGTGATTGGCAAGTGACTTGGTTCTAGAAGCAACTGTTTCCGTAATCCAGATATTGAGAAGTACGTTCTTTAGTTCCCACCAAACAGAAGCTGATTGAAGGGCTGGGAAGATGGCTCCCTGGCTAAGAGCACCTGCTGTGCAGGTGCTGAGGACTCAAGTTAGAGGGTCCAGCGCTCGTGGTAAAACCCAGGTGTAACTACTTATGCCCGCACCCCTCTCATTCCCAGGTGAGACAAGCCAGCCAGCCAGCCTAGCCAAACAAGGTGTCTTGCTCAGTAAGGGACACCATTTTAAGGGAATAAGGCAGAGTAGAGTAGACGTCTGAGGCCCTGCTCTGGACTCTGACTGCTTGGAAAGGTACTACCATGTCTCTCCGTCTGTCTGTTCCCCTCCCCCCCACAAGCTCTCTCTCTGTCTCTCTCTCTCTCTCTCTCTGTGTCTCTCTCTCACACACACACACACACACACACACACACAGAGAGAGAGAGAGAGAGAGAGAGAGAGAGAGAGAGAGAGAGAGAGAGAGA